AGAACTTGAATTAACATAATATTACCATGGACTGTTTTTATTACTGCATGACACGGTACTATTCGGTATAAAAAATAATTAATCTTAATAACAACCACCATATTTTTGTCATAATGTTTTTCCATTTTATAATTCAACTTCGAATTACACATAAATAATAATAATAAATAACATTAAATAAAAAAAATCTTATGAAATACATAATAAAAAAACCATGTTTGAATTAGTTAATGCAAATTTAGGCGAGAATGACGGCTTTATAGCTTTGTGGGTCATGATGAGTCTTTAAATATTATGGTGGTGGCCCTCTTACTTTTGATTAATTGCAACAATGACCCCTCTTAAATCTTTATGTCTTACGTTTTTGTATGCAAAACCGTTTTCCATCCGCATGTGCCTTCTACTAATCATTTCATTCTTATCCCCACCCTGCCCCTTTCATCATTAGTTTTAGTACTCCCATCAAGTACAATTCAATATTTAAATAAACATAAAATAGCTTCTTTTTTTTTTAAATTAAAATAAAAAATCATTTTATTATATCATTGTTTATTTAATAAGCATTTGATCAAAACTATTTTTTATATATAAATTACTGTTTATTGATGTATATTATTTAAAATTCAAGATTACAAGTGATTTTATGTAAGTACAACCTATTAAAACTTTATTTTTAAATTTATGTAACTAACTGCAGATAGATATAATCAAATATAAGATAAACATCTATTTTTAAATATTGAAAATATAAAATATAATTAAGATTATCATTGAGTTTCCAACCGAATGTTTAATTATTATCTTTAATAAAAATGATATTATCAAACAAAAAATAAATTACTTTGTTATTAAACCTAAATTGAATTATAATAAAAAATTGAATTAAAAAAGTTACACCAAAAAAACAAGAACTATTAAATAGTTAACTTAATACTTTATTTTATTTTTTGAATTTTTTTATACCATCTTCAAAAATAAAAACACTATCGTTTTCTCAAAACTACATAAAATCTTATTATATCGATAGAGACAAATAATAAAAACTAAACATTAGAATAAAGATTTATCTCGCTAAATTGTGCGGGTATCCTTCTAGTAATATTATAAAGCATTTGACAAAAATTATTAAAAATTATTTTTTTATAAATAAAGTACTGTTTATAAAAATTATATTATTAAACGATAAATAAATTACGTCGTTATTAGATTTGAATTAAATTATAAATAAAATATAGAATTAATAAAATTACACAAAAAACGAGAACTTTAAATAGTAAATTTGATACTAATATTGATATATATTTTTTTTCAAATTTTTATAATATCGTTAAATTTATATTTTCTTTAAAAATAAAAACAATTTTCGCTTTTTCAAAACCACTAAAAATCGTATTATATCGACATAGATAAATAATAAAATAAAACATTAAAATTGAGATACATCTCTCGTTATATTATACAAGTACCCTTCTAGTAATACATAAATAGCCTTTGAGATTTGGATTTGAAAAAAGGTTAAAAATACAATTACTTAGGTGGCGTTTGGTTCGCAGATTCTAGAGGAATCTGAAGGAATTGGAATGTTGAATTCCTTTCACCAGATTCATTTCCTTCGTTTGGTTCATTCTTTTCAGCGGAAGGAATCTTCAGATTCCTATGAAATCCATGGATAAAGGATTTTAACATTCCTTAGCAACTCCATGGTATTTTGATGAAATGAAATCTCTATCTTCATTATACCAAATATGCCCTTAACCTAATATACTATAATCTCATAAAACTCAATATGACCATCGTCGACCACCTCTCGACCACTATTGATTTGAACCACTGCCGACCACTACCACCAATCTGAACCACCTTCGATTTGAACTACCGTCGACCACCACCACCGATCTGAACCACTGCCGACCACCACCATCGATCTAAACCACCGCCGACCACCACCACTGACTACCACCAGTTTGAACCACCACCGATCTGAACCACCGTCGACCACCACCACCCACCACCACCGATCTGAACCATTGTGGACCACCACCAATCTGAACCACCGGTGACCACTATCGATTTAGTAACATCGTTTGGCTTATGATTATATTTGAGTTGTGTATTTTATATTGTTTTACATATTAAATAATTATTTTATCGAAGTATTTTTAGTTTTAAAAAAATTAAAATTTTCAAAAAAGGGCATTTTGGTCATTTACCAAAATTTTATTCTAATTCTAAAGCTACATTCAGTGAATCAAACAGAAAGATTCCAATTCCTTAACAGATTCTATTCGAAAGTCTGCCAATCAAACATGTAGTCAAACCTTACAACATTCCATTCAAATTCATTCAAAGTCAAATTCCTTTAACATATTCCATTCCATCCAAAAACATTCTGCAAACCAAACGCCACCTTAGTCTCAAGATATATAGATATTTAAATTTAAGAAATTAACCAGATAAATAACTATATTTACTTTTTGGCTCATTATTTTTGGTATAAACTAAATTAGCCAAGATTTTATAAGTGTTCATTTCGTAACATTTAAATTGTATTTTTATGAATACAATATGATTTTAATAAGTCATTTTGCAAGTCAAAAGAACATTTCGCAAACCGGTGGGTCTATTTCGCACACTAAAACCATATTTAATTCATATAAAATATATTCCATCAGTTACGAAATTTTGACTACTTTTATTCAATAAGAAAAACGTATGTTAAAAAAATAAAGAAATTGATTCAAAATTCGATAAAGTTTCCTAAAAACCTCGACTTTACAAAGATAAAATCTCATAATAACCTTAATTAGCAAAAAAACATGAGATATGATATGAATGTTTTGGGTTAATGAGGAGGACGTAGGGAGTACAAAATGGGTTATGTATTTGCAATGAATGCTTGTAGCCATAAGAGCATTAGGTTTTGTGGGAAGGGTGGACTTTTGGGGTTTGATATCGACATATTGAACCAAACCCAACAGACGTGCTCCCCTCTCTTCTTTCTCTCTCTCTAAACTTGCAGTTTTCAAGCTCTTTTGAATTATTCTTGTCTTCTTCTACTGTTTAGTCAATACCCTTATTTTAATACACCACATTGTGCTTATGCTCTGCTGAACGTACGACCCTTCTCTCAAATATCAATGACTAACCCAAGCTTAAGACACCATATCTGCTTCTATTCTTCTTGGAGGTTCTAATCCCAATTATATCAGGTCAGATAAATTCCCTATCTTTATCGTATTTTGCTCGTGGGTTTTTGTTGGGTATTGCGAAATTGTGTACTTTTTCAGAAATTTCATAATCTTTATGCCCAAAACCGTAATGGGTGTCGGTTTGATGCTTTCTTCTTGTGGTTTTACTTGTGTTTCAAGAACCAAATGGGGTTGATTCAAGTGAATTTTGGTGTTTTTACTGAGAAAATGGAACAAGTTTGAGAGACTTGAATGTTCATACCACACTGTAATTCTGAAAGGGTACAAAGTTTTGTTCTTTTTACTGTTTTTTCTGCCATTTTCGAGGAATCCAATGAGCTTTGTACTAGAAAAAGTCGCAAACTTTTGATTCTGGTATCTTTTTTTGGTCTCTGTCCTTTGTTAATATTATGCAGTTGAGCTTGAAATGATTCAATTCTATAGCTGCTATAACAACAAAATCTTGATGTATAATCTATAAACTGGAACATGGTCTCAAAGATGGATTGATAGCTTCTGAATTTGGTTCTTTGGTGTTCTTTTTTACAATCTAGTGTTTCTTATTGTTCCAGAAGGATTTCTTTCAATGGAGACATTAACCTCATCTGCTGCATTGCCCATCCCAAAGGAACCAGCAAATTACGATGAGATCGCTATGCAGCAAAGTTTGCTGTTCGCCGATAGTCTCAAGGCAATTTCATCGTCTCGTGTTCTTATTCGTGTTCATTTTCCCATCCCCCCCCTGCCCCTTTTTTATCTTGTTTGCAGAACTGTAATCTTGTTGAATGTTTGGTTTTGTTTTAGGATTTGAAGAATCTGAGAAAACAATTGTACGCGGCTGCTGAATATTTCGAATTGTCTTACACCAATGATGATCAAAAACAATTGTGAGTGATTCGGTTAAGGGAAGTAGTGATTATTCTTAATAAAAATGTCTGTGATTGCACCTCAAGTTACATGTTTTTGCTGCTTCAGAGTGGTTGATACCTTAAAAGATTATGCCATCAAAGCCCTAGTCAATACAGTGGACCATTTGGGCGCTGTGTCGTATAAAGTTAATGACATATTAGGCGAAAAGGTCAATGAAGTTTCTGCAACAGAGCTTCGAGTATCATGTATTCAACAGGTACTTCTGCATTCCGTTATCATTTAGTAACATATTACATCAGGATTGCTATTGTTACAAATGCTTTCGGTCTGTTTTAGGCTATGTTTGACAAACTAGCTTATAAGGTGGCTGTTGGCCGATGAATAAGTTGGCTGATAAACTAGTCGGCTTTGGTAAAAACAGGCTGATAAGCTATATGACGATTAAAATACCTAAGAGGACATGTTGAAAACTTAATTGGAAAAATGCAAGGGGCATAATTGGAAAAAGTGAAAAAAAGCCTCCAGAACTTATTGAGACGCTACTTGAAGCAACTTTTCAAAAAGCTAGCTTATGGCTTATTACCAAACGGGACTTTTTCAGTCAGCTTATGGTTGACAAACATGCTCGTAGAATATCATCCATTTTAAAACAACAGCTTTTTGCTCAAAATGTAGTCCTCAAGAACAAATCTTGTCATTTATTTTTATTTTTTATTTATTTATTTTTATTTTTTTTGTTTTTAAGGGTGTCCGGGCCAAAGCCCGACTAATCTCCGGCAAATTTGGAGGCTAAACATGGCCTCACTTAAATGTCGCCAACACTCCCCTCCAGGGCTCGAACTCGGGTTCATGACTATGCCATGCCCAAGCCTTTACCACTACGCTGGAAAGTCTTTGACGTCATTTATTTTTTGATGTGGTGTTTCAGAGACTAAGAGTATGCCAAGGGTGTTTTGATCACGAAGGTCTCGCCCAACAGTCTTCTTTGATAAACATTCCGAAGTACCATAAAAGATATATTTTGCCAGGTCTCACCTTTCCTTCACTCTCTTTAAGTTTCTTAAAATGATTCTTTATATTTTTGTAGTTTTCTGCCTTCTGTGATCCTTTCTGTATGGACATGGAAGGAGATAATTATTGTCTAAATATTGAACTCGATGTTCAGTTGGAGAGACCATGCAAGGTGGTATGCGAACTAAATCGAAGTACCAAGGATGCAGTTTGGACAATGAAGATGACTGGCATGAGTTTAAAAATGGTAAGAACTTTTCACCTTTAAAGTTGTTCAATCTAGCCCCCACATCTTTAGCCTAGCAAGTAAGTAGGTGGATATCTATGCAGAATGATTTACCCGCCCCATGATGACTGTGGGACCCACACAGTGGGGGCGCTCCAGACCAGAGGGTGGCGTTATAACCTTTTGTTTGATTATATGTGCTTAACGGGTCTGTTTTTGATACACACAGCTGTTCGGGCTACTATCAGAGAAACCTCACCAGCTTTGGTTAGGTAAATGTTTCATCATTTTTTGTGCATTCAACTTGTATGTCTAATCTTAAAGATTAATGCAATTAAAAAATGTAGAAAAGGGCGATCCCCGTCTCCTTCTCCACAACCTGCCCAGCAACCTGGGTCATTTGCGTTCACTGGCGCAGTGACCAGAAAAGACTTAGGTACGGAACCATTCATTTTGCTACTTACTTTTAATTCCGATGGCTGTTTGCTGACATTATTTGGATGGTGAATCAGAGAAAAGATCAGTTTCACCACGCCGATTCTCTCTTCTGCGTACTGGGTCTCTATCTAGTAGGCCAACCACCCCAAATTCGAGATCAAATTCAAGATCCACCACTCCAAATCCAAGCAGACCGACGACTCCGACCTCAATTGGTCGACAAAGGGTAATTAATAAAGCACACACTTTCGCTTTTGAGTTCAAAAGCTAAATGGATTCTGGTATATATGAACACTTGAAATGCTCTAGTTATCGAACTTCTCTTGAAAACATAAAGAATCCTACTAATTCTGAAAACGATGGCTGATTTGTAGCTTTCCGAGCCTCGGAAATCAGCTTCGATGCGAATGCATGCTGATAGAGAAACGTACAGAGAGACAGACCAGATACCAAGCAAAAGTAAACGTCTACTCAAGGCGTTGCTTAGTCGACGCAAGTCTAAGAAAGATGATATGCTATACACTTATTTGGATGAATATTGAATCTGCAAATGAAAAATAGCCCCAAAAGAAGCTTGTTGGTGTGCTTATTAGTTATTATTAAGCAAGCAGTAGTCAGAATGTATTATTCTCAATATATGTTTTACCATCTGCATTCAGCACTTCACTTCTGAACCTGAGGTTTAATTCTAAATTGAGATAGTTATATAGCATAATCCATGTCTATAATTATTCTCTCATTTTCTTCTCTTCTTCCTATATCAATTGGAGATATAACTATCTGCTATATATAATTGTTTGATAGTGGCTTAATGATATAGAAAACAGCTTATTCAATAAGTTTTTAAGGAGAGTTTCATGTAAAAAGTCAAGTTTTTTTTTCCAAACTTGCCCCTCCCAATTGAAAAAAATACATTCATTACATCTATGAAAAAACCTTGCAAACAAAAACTTCCTAATTCATATAGACGGATTGATTCACACAAAAAAATTTACCGACGCTGAACTTGATGGAAAATCAATCAAACGGCCCATTAGAGTGAATTACCTTTTTCATCCTTGTCGTCCTTATTTTGAAAAATTAGAGAAATGTGCCCTTGTGGTTACACTTTTTAACGAGCTACATCTCTGTTTGGGATATCCCCTCCTTCTGAACTGGACTCCTCTCATCCGGCTCTCTGCAAGAGATTCTCCACCCATTTTTCCCCCTAATATCCTCCATGGGGGTTTACAAGAGATCACAGTGGTACGTTTGAAAAGATTGTTATACCATATCTTTTAACTTAACTCGTTAAAGAATTACACTCCTGGAGACCCAACTCGTTAATTTTTCAAATTAGAAACGAGATCCATTAAAACATCAAACCACAAGGGCCAAAAATGTAATTCACTCTAGAATTTATTTACATTAATTTTTTGTTTTGTTTTTATTGATCAAATTAATATGAATTTTTGTGATGAATAAAAACATGTGAAATTGTTGGAAAGGGATTGAAATAGGTGATTATGTTAAAAAGATATTGTATGAAAATGAGTATAATAGTTACGAAACACCTTTTGATAATTACTTGTACATATTTAAGAGTAAAAGTGAAAGAAAAAAAATTATATAAATTCAACGTTATAATATTATAAGAGATAAAATAGATATCTTATATTTAGACATTTATCAGTTTACAAAAACAAACAATCTTATAAGAATGACCATTTTTTGCACCAAACCAGACAACATATGTACCAACCGTATCAATTTAGTTCGAACCAATTACTGTCGGATAATAGTACATACCAAATATGCAAACTTGGTTGATACAAAACATTGTAAGTTATTTATCACGGTAGTACCATAATACCGACTTATTTAATTTTTTATTAATTAAATTGAGTAATTTTAAAGCATAGTTACTGATTTTTAAGTTTTGTATTCCCAATTTTTTGTTTGCTTATTATAATTTCACAAAACCAAAACTATCACTCAAATTTTGAAGAGGATAACAAGTTTTCATACATATGTAACTTGAAATCGATACAAAATCAATACCAACATATACCGATCAAAAAAAGTTAAAGAAGTTATTTGACAATTGCTGAATGGTTTAGTACAAAATAATTAAGTGGTCAGAATGATTAAGAGACACTCATAATATAATGCAAAATAAAATATAATTGTCTGGTAATTGTGTACAATGAAATTAAGGCTTTTAATGATTAAAGAAGATTCATGATACAAAATCATTCAGAGGGTTTTAGAACCATTAAGAGGCATACTTTTTTTTTTGCCAAACAAGATTCACCTCTTACCAATTCAACGGTTGCCTCTTAATAAAACTATTAAGAGGTAAACAAACAATCCCTAAAAGATGTTACATAGTATTGGGAAAAAGACTTGGTGCACTACCCATACCACCTCTAATCTTATTGATTTTGATTTCAAAATTTAAGATCACCTCTCATCAAAAATAAGATTTCAAACTTGAAATACCAGCGGTCTTATGGGTTATATTCTTTTCTTTATAACTCTTCACACTAAACCATGATTCCACAACTGGGCTAAGACAAAGACCAGTCTTAATGAGTAACTATGCAGATTACAAGAAATAACACATTAAGCTAACCAAGTATTTATAGTTCACCAATTGACGGTTACAGAAGCAACCAAGAGTGATTGATTGGGTATAAAACTATAATTCTCAAGTTACAGTTCGATGCCCTCACCAAATTGTTCGATTGTTTTCGTTGCTAGCGTTAAGACATCCACAAAGGCGCTGAATGATGCACGAAGAAATCTAGCTTCAACCGCCTCAAAATGCCTGTATCAACATATTCAAGAAATATTAGGATTCAGTATTTTCTACTTGCTTATGATATCATGTAACATTTCCGTTTAATCGCTCCAATTTGTTTTATACAGATAGGACCAAACTTACACTGAAAGTTTCCCGTCGGAGATGGACATCAGCCGCCTGACTTTGTCTGGTTGAAGCTGGAAACATAATCGTAATAATAACCAAATGTTATATATTTAATGTTTAGAAATGGCACAAAATGGTCATGAGATGATGTTAATATACCTCCTTATCAACAGCCAGTGCTGAATATACTATGCCAGCCTTTTCCTCAGATTTGTAATCTACTTCCAAATCACTGCAACAAAAAAGTTGCTATTTAAAATGTGGGAATGACTAATGAAGTTGAAAAAAGATTTATCATTTACGAAAAAATCATGTTTGGCGACAACAAGACACCTTATTTTTTGAGCTAATTGAAAAAACCCAGTTTGGTAAGCTCTAAGCTTACCATCCGCTAGCTTTTTGAAAAGCTGCTTATGCCACTTATATTTTACGTAAATGGCTAATAACATGGCCTTTTAGGTTATTTTACTTTGTCATCTAGCTTATCAACTAGTTATATACTAAACATGACTAGCGTAACAGCTAGCCTTTGTCAACAACTAGCTAGTTTGCCAACATAGGCCCCAAGTGCTTAACGTGCATACAACTCCAACTAAAAACATTGTTTGGTAATACTTTTGCGACATAGTAATCGATGGGCTAGAGAACAGAAAACAAGAACTTCCAAATGGAAGTTGCAGAGAGAAAATATACGGACATATAGCATAAGGATGACGACAAAAGAGAGAATCCTACAGACCTTCAACGATCAACATGAAAAATTCTTTAGCAAATACGAAAACTATTATTCAAAGATTACTAAAAAGGGAATGTTAGTAATTTTCATGGGACAGATGGAATCCTCGATAATTACCTTAATTAAACATTCGCATCTTGATGCCTTAAGATATGCACAAATATGTAATCAGACTTGCTAATCATATATAATAATTCCCTGTCTAAAGTAGTAAAAAGTGGTCAAACCATAGAGAAAGGCATGACAACTCAATTATGGCTGTGTTCATTCAAGTGGCCAAAGTGCTAATCAATTTGAAAACAAAATAAAGCAGAAGCTTTCAGATACCTTTTATAAAGAAATAAGAGCAGGAATTCAAAGACAAATTTGTCAACTATGCAGTGAAAAACACTTGTCAACTATGCAGTGAAAAACACTCAAATTTGTGGGCATTACATATACATATATATAAACCTAAAAAGAGAGAGAGAGAGAGAGAGAGAGAGAGAGAGAGACCCACCAGCTGAACTCCCATGGAGAAGGAATCGTTTTTTGGGCATCTGTTTCAATGGCAGAAGCAATAGACTCCATCTTTATCTGAGTGTAGTCCAAAAAGAATATCGATTTCAGCTGTTATGAACCAACACTGCCAATTACATAATTAAACATTTAATATTCTGTAAATCGCAGATTGTATAGTTATAATATAA